TCCAAGTATGGTGGGTGTCAGAAGAGCAGAGCTTGAAGGTCTCTGGGTGTCTGGATTTGGGAGGATACCAGGCAACTCAGCTGATGGTGCCGAGCACCATCTCCTCTGTGTCACTGTCTTCGTTTGAGAGGACCCATTGTGCCTTCATCCCCTGTGAAACCCCTGGTCCAAGCAGTACTTCTGGCAATCTTTCATGCAGTTGGTGGAAGGAGTGCAGGAAAATATCCAAGTCCAAATTCATATGGGCTTCCCATGCCTGCACCCAGGCTGTGTGTAGTGTCACACAATACTGTGACATTAGTCCCTGTGCTACAAAGCAAAGTAGGGCTTGCATTGCAAGCTACAGTGCCTCAGCAACCTCAAAGTAAAGAGTTTCTTCCTAATGTCTGATCTAATCTCCCCTCTGTCATTGCAAGTGTAGTTCTACCTTTATTTACTCCCTCCATGAAACCTCCATTCTCTCCTGCCTCCTAATGCACCTCTCACATCCTTCTACTTCCCCTTGCTCTTGCTTATGCTCCTCCCTAGCTTCCCATCATTTTCCCCCCATCCTTCCTTGATATTTTTCTTTCCTCTCCTTGTTCCTGCTGTATCCCGGTGAGTGTCCCTTCCTGCTTTCTTCTCCCTCGGTCCTATTCCTTGCTTGCTTGGAACTCCCCTGGCCCCAGCTTTCCCTGCCAATGTCACCCTCCAGGCAAAATGTCTCTGCCTCTCCTCCCGGTGGGAAGTCAGGCTTAGGATAGCCTGTGAGAGGGACAAGCTTGGAAAGAAGGACTTACAATGAGAACTCGAGAAGAGCAGACCACAAGGAAAGCTGGAGAGGAAGTGGAGTGTGTAGGAAGAAAGAAAAGGAAGGGAAATGAGGCCAGGGAGGCAAAATCAGAGAGAAGAACCAAGAGTCACAGAAACACTCAGACATAGCAGGGGGGGAGAGAGAGAGAAAGAGAAGGAAAAGAAGAAAGAAAAGGAGACAAAAATCCCAGCTGGAAAACACAGAAGAAAAGAGAAGGGTGTTCCCAGTTATCTGGCGCTGTGGCAATGAGTCAGAATCCTGAGTTTCCGATCTCCTATTCAAATGTAAACAGATATTTCTTCCTCTTCATCTCACTGGTGCCCTAAGTGTGCCAATCAACCCACAGCACAGCGGGGTTATCCAGTGGGGTTATCCTCATGGGCCCAGCAGCACTTAAGCTGTAAGCAAAGGCAGGGAGCAGGAGGAGGGTACAGCTCACCTGCAAAGCTGTCAGGTGGGGGGTTAAAACTGGTTGGGTTTGGGTTTTTTTTCCACCAAACCTAAAACATGAAGACTCTTGCCCAGAGATGAGCCAAGATGACCCCTCTGGCAAAACAGCCTGGCCTGCATCAGTTCTGGTACTCCTCTTTGGCCTGAGATGTCCCAGCAGCTAGATACTCTGCTCTTCTGCCCTTTGCTGCCTGTAACTGGACCCTACACACTCCTATTCTGTGTATTAGGTAAAGTCTAATGCCTGTGTTTAGATATGTGGGCTACAGAAAGGTGCAGGACTGACCCTTATTGAAGACTGTTATACCCTCAGACTGTGAAGTCTGTAAGATCTTCCCATTTTGCTCTTCTCTCTGGACCCACAAAGAGAATACAGAGTGATTACCTTTTCTAGGTAAATCTTGCCTATATCTGGCCATATGTCAGTGTGAGACTGCCTCACCCTTTGCTTTGTATTTGTCAGGAGAAGCTAAGTAAAGGTTGTGTTAACTGCTATTTGCCCTGATTCCGTGGTTTGCAGCCAGTGTGAAATTCAAAGACATTTTAGAATGCTACCACCAGTACTGCCAATGATGTTTTGCACTCCTTTTAGTCAGTACAAAGCGAATTGTACCTCAGGTGCTTAATTTTCTCCTAAAAATATTAAGACATTAAACGTATTTGCTTTCCAGCTTGTGAACACTCCATCCCTCTGATACAGTGGTTCTGGCTTCCCGGGGACTGCCTGTCTAGAAATGTTTGTGCAGAGCTGCTCACTGTACAAACACACCTTTAGGATCCACTCATAGCGAGTACTCCCCGTCTAAATCCACGTAAGTTGGAGCAGAAGGGTCACTGAATGTTCTTTGATCCATGCAATTGGAAATCTATTTCTGAAGAGCATGAAGTTTCCTTATGCAGCAAAAGTATGTTCGCTCCATCAGCATGACAGCACAGACTGAGGCTGTTGGCACCTCATATATCCCAACTCACACCCAAACCAGCTCTTTAGAAGGCAATGCATTGCTCCCCATGTCTTTTAAATCCATCCCAAGTCTTGACCCACTCTTTTTGGCTGTTTCCAGCATGAACTAGTGAAGACCTTGCAGAATCCGTAGTACTGGAAGGGGTCACACCTTTTATAGCACTGCATTTCACATGTATAGCAGAGAACAGGAAAACAAGGTGCAAGAACAGCGATCTACGTTCAGCTCTTCTCCTTTTTAGTGGCTTGCTGGTGGTGCGCTAGCCAAATCACTGGATTTCTCTGCCTACTCTTCCTTATGCAAACAAGGGGAAGTGATACTTAGTCATTATTATAACATCTAGGGATGCAAATTACTCTGTCAATGATTACTGTTTGTTCTCAAAATACATTCCATTTCCCTTTATCCCATTTACAACACTGGATTAGTCACTTCCAATATCACAGAATCATAACCATTCATTCCTTCAGATGAAGTACTAGTTGCCCTAAAAAGAAAAGCATCTCAGAGAGGTGAGCCACTCTTTAACATGAGGATATGTGGGATTGAGTTGTTTGGATACGGGGGTGATGGAGGCTATTAAAGTACATAGATGACCAATAAACAGCACTAAAAAGTGCATCATATACTGAGGATATAGCAAACACTTGTCTAAGGCAACATCTGATGGCTAATGAGAATTTGTAACTCATCTGTAAGAACAGCTTTGCTTCCTTGCAATGACACTGATTGCATCAGGGTTTTATAGTAGTGCAGAACAGTGCATAAATTAAAATCATTAGATGGATGGCATACACAACTGTTATCACACATCCATGTGCTTCCTTGAGTGTGGCTTTTACAAAGTAGGAAACAGCTTCAAGAACCTACCTACATCTCCGTGGCTTTGCAAAGGAGTTTTTCACTGCTCTGTGTGTGTTAGTGCCAACTTTTCCCTCGCTGAATTTGGAATGATAAAAGAAACCCCTGGTCCCTGGCTATTGTTGTAGCGAGGGAGGAAAATGTTGTATTGAAGCTTGCCGGAATTCTGAATGAGCTTTAATCATTGAGATACTGGAGACAATTACTTGGGCTACGGCTACACAAAAGAATTGTAGCAATTGAACTGAAGATTGGAGACTGATAAAGCAGTTCAAGCCTGTACAAAAATACCCTTCTCAGCTTAGGTGAGTGTGGGCTTTAGATACCCTTCTTCATAGGCAAGGAGGAAGTAAAGGTTGTCATACATCTTGATTCTCACAAGGGTTTGACACCATTCCACACGACTTTCTCCTAAGCAAACAAGAAAAAGCCCCAGCTCAGATTAAATCCTCATAAAGCAGGCACATGTCTGGTTAAAAAATAACTTTACAACCCCGCTCTCAATTTTTCACTGTCAGACTTGGAGGCATTCTCAAACAGGGTCCTTCCAACATCTGTGTGTGGAATCCATTTTATGCAGTATTTTCATTAACAACCTGTGACGAGGGAATAAAGAGTACTCATAAAATCTGCAGACATCATCGAGCTGGGAGAGGATGCAAACAGTTTGGCGGATGGACTGAGAATTCAGAATGATCCTGCTAAATTGGAGAAAATCAACAACTCGGTAAAGAAAAGTGCAAAGTGCTACACTTAGAGGAGGAAATCAGAAGCACAAAGAGAAGATGGGGAATAAGTGGCCAGGCAGCATTACTGCAGACAGGCAGATGGGAGCATGAGCCATGAATTGAACAGGAGGCAAGAGTATGATGCTGTGACATAAAAAGGGTAGAGCAGGGTGCTGGGTGTACAATGCAAGTGACCAGTCTGGTTTTCCTGGCATGGGGAAGGCAGGGTACCAGCTGAAGGTTTCACAACTGAGCAGCAGATCTGAGAAGAGGCTTTGAAAACATGTCCTGCAAAGAACCATAGGATCATAGAATGGTTTGGGTTGAAAAGGACCTTAAGATCATCTAGTTCCAATGCCCCTGCCATGGGCAGGGGGACATCTCACACTAAGATTGGGAAGTTTAAGCAGAAGCCTAGAGAATGAGATGGTGACTGTTGGCTTGTAAAGATGAAATGTTCTCACTGCCCATGTAAACAGGACAAGAAGAGGTTTCTGCTGTCAAAACAGGAAGATATGAAAGCCCCTGACATTGAAGTATAATTTAGTGACACGGTTTAGTGTGTGGTATCCCTGCCCACGGCAAAGGGTTGGAACTGGATGGTCTTAAGGTCCTTTCCAACCCTAACTATTCTATGATTCTATAAGGGAATTAAGTCATGGAGCTAAAGAGGTGGCCATGCATTGTGTCCTTCACCTTGTCATCACCAACTTCATCCAGGGATCCTACAGGTATGGCCAGGCTTGCCAATGGGCAGCAAATGTGGGATGCAGATGGAAACAAGCTCAAGGCATCTGCTCAAGGTGGCCACAGCTAAACTGTGCTACTCTAGAAATGAAGACAAAATAACTTATTTTGCTGTAACCCCCTGAGATGCCAACATTTAATTTGATGGTGAAAGCAGAGCAACTTCCTCCTACCTACCAAGTTACAGAGAAACCCTGCAGCAGCTGGTGGGAAAAGGCCATGAATTATGTCCCCTGCCCTTCCTGTTGAGCTCTTCCTGAACATCTTGGTGAGGAGATCCTGGAGACTTCCAGGAGGCAATATAAAGTGCCTGAACTCTTGTCAGTACAGCAGTCTCTGCCTGTCTGCCTACATCTGTATGGACACTCTGTGTTTCGGTAGCTGTTAGTCTCTGTTGTGATTTAACTGGGGAAAAACACTGACAATATTTTCCTCTGTGTTTTCAATTCTCCCTAGAGTTGGCTGCATTGAATAGCAGAGCTTTGAATTTTATTGAGGAAACCATACAGCCAAAACCTCAGAACCATTCTGGGACCCACAGGTTTTCACCCTGTTTCTCAACCACGAGAAGGAAAGCATAGCCAGTGGTGGGTGGTAAAGATGGGTTTGTTAACCTCGACCAGCCAAATGTAGTGATTAATGTCTCCTTTGCTTTGCGTGAAATGGGATTAGCAGGTGTACACTGGTCTTGAAAATCAATAAAGAAACACAGAGTTCTAGTAAAAGCTGGGAATCTCTATGGAGATCCATCATTACTTAGGAAGTTGTATCCTCTGCAGTAGATCGTAGGTGGTAGGATGCAACAAAACTGAACTATCCTGTTTGTTGTGGGGGAAACAGAATAAATAGGAGGAGCATGTGGCTTAGTGGGCAGAGGGCTGGATTGGACTTGCTGCAGGACACTGGGGAAGCTGTTTCACTCGTCCCTGTGCTATAAAATCTCCAACTATATGAGATAATGAGCCTGGCTTTTCCTTATAAATAACACAGACTGACTTTCCTTATGAATGATTCTCCTTATAAATAACTTGTCTTATAAATAGCCTACATGGCAAATACTACATAGGACATAACAGGCTCTGTGGCATTTTTTGTAATAAACACATTTCCGAACCCAAATAGCTCAGTAAAACAGTTACAGATGCTATGCTTCTTAAGGGAAACACGTGCTTTCAGAATGTGTTGTTAGTATAAAAAACCAATTCATTGGGCTGATTTAAATGTATTAGCAAGCATCAAACCTGCAGTAATTTAATTGCAAAAATTTAATTGCAGAATTAAAACAATTAGCAAGGCAGCCCTCAATGCTCATGATATTACATCTATTTTATACAGGAATTGATAATATCTATAGCACCCAATAAAATGAACAAAATAATCACTAGCTAAAGATGGAGTGCAGGGCGGGGGGGCAAACCTGTTGGATTAGAGTTAAAACAAGTAACTTTACCCATCACTCACAGAGCAGCAGCTTACTCAGGCTGGAAGCCAGTCCATGCCAGCACTCACTGGATTCCATCCACTTGCCACAGCCCATCAGAGATCCCCCAAGTGACAGTGACAAAGAGGTGTCTTGTGATCCCAATTCATGCACACGCAGGGCAAGATCCACACCTTCCAATAGTCAAGCACATAAAGGAGCTGCAACCGCAGACTGAGCTGGTTCACCCAGGAGATTGCCTCACTTAGAAGACCACGTCCACTCTCCTTTCTTGAAATGGTCTTGCAGGTAAGCGGCTTCTGCTATGGTAAAGCTTCTCCTTTACTTGCACATTAAAGCTTATACCCTGGTCAGTGCTTGGTGGATCCAATGTGCTGCCACTTTGTTGGAGAAAACAAAGAATATTGATCCATTATCTGCCCATGGCTGGACATGCGTGATTGGCTGGGAAACGTCTCAACTGGTGTTGGTGACTGCGTGCCTCTTTGCAGGATGGATGCTTTGGGTTTCTTCCTGACTTCAGCTGGGGCTTCAGAAGCCAAGTTTGTGCTGGGGCTGGTGCGCCTGGGGCTTTGTTCCTATCGTCTTCCAGGAACCACTCTTCACTTCTGAGAATTATCGAGTGCTGGGACTGAGGTGGTTTCTGGTGGGCAGACAGAGCGGATGAACCTGACCCGTTTAGCAGGAACACACTGATCTTGTCAGGTATTTCTGACCAAGCATCCAATGGGTCCGTTTCAGTTGGGGTCAATAAAACTTCACTTCCACACGGTGAAAAGTCTCATTTACATTATCTTAAAGAAGACAAACGTGAAGTTCAGTTCTCCAGCCTTGTCAAAACAAGGGTCTTCAACCAGGCTGCTGCTGAGCCTCCTGGCACACCCTACTGATGGGACTGTTCCTCTGTACAGGCAGCTGTTTGGGAAACCTGGCTTAGCCCTTTCACAACACCCCCTTAGCACTTTCCAAGTGCCGTTTAGCACTACAAGCAGTATGTGACCAGAGAGATGGGAAAAGAAGAGGGATATATTAAGGCAGACTGCTGTATGAGGGAATTTGCCTGTTAAAGGAGGTGATAATATCAGAACCAGTAATCAGGTACTGTGGTACATGGGAAGAAAACCACTTCCAGAGCTAATTGTCTTCAGAGTTTGGTTCTGACTAGTTTTTAACCAAATCAAAATCCACAGTCATAGGAGTTCAGTGGAATCTATGTCTTTATTCAGTATGTAATTTGTTTGAACTTAGTTGCCATCTCTTAGTTGCCACCTAACTCACCATCCAGATGCTTCCCCCTTTAAATAAGGATATGCTACATATAAGAAAGACAGTGCCCATGGAAAATGTGTTAAAAAGAATAGGATGTTTGGTGAACTGTTCCTGGACAAGCTGTTCCTGAGCAGCTTCCTGGTCCTTTCTTTCAGCTCATGTGTCCATGATATGGACCCCAGACTGAACTCTTCTGTGTCTGATACTCCACTTGCTGCAGTCTCTGCAGTGCCTCTGTGGCTGGGAAAGCTGTGCTCATGCACTCCATGGAGCAGACAGCTCAGCCCTGATGTGCCTTTTATAATCCTTTATATCTCTAAGCTTTCAGTCCACAGGCAATTTTCTGTATGGTTTCCTACCAAATGCAATACACAAACTTAGCATGCTCAGCTTCACTGGCACATCTTGAACCCCCTTTTCTAGAAGCTCTTTTGTAAGTTAGCATTAGATTTTCTGCTGATTTCCACTCCTGTTTCTGTGGATGTTCCTTCCTCTGCATGACTTGGAGACAGCTTGGCAGCCCAAAGCAGCCTAAGGAGCTGCTACTATGCAGAAACCACAGGTCCTAGATTATGCTGAGCCAACATCAAAGATAAAGCATTAAAGATACTGACACAGCAATGGCATTGGCGATCAGCTCTCGCACGTGTGAGGAATCTGTAAGGACGTCTTTATGCACCTCCTTCTTCTGTCCATCTCATTAAGGTGATCTGCTGCCATTTACATCACCTTGCCAAATGTATATACGTACTTGCCAGTTCAGTCTGCTGACAGGAAGAACATTAACATCTGTGGAAGTTTCCATGCACTTATAATTATCCATTACCTATTAGAAGTTTGATCACTTCTTGAATAAGAGTTTTCCCTTTAGCCAAGCACTATAAAGCCCTCATCAGTCCTAGTTTTTACAAGGGCAGGGAGCTAACCTGGGTTAACTCTGCCCTCACCTTTTGTTTCCTAGCTCTGTTTGGATTCTGGTTTAAACACACTAGGTGGTTTTGGGAAAGGTGGGTGTTTGATGCAAATTAGAACATGAGTCAAAAGGCTGCGAAAGGGGAAAGCGTGAATTCTTCACTTATCCCATCCTCTGCACTGCAACCCCGGGCTCCTGCAGGGAACAGATGACACGACATCATCACACACTGGCACACAGGGGGCAGGAGCACTTCTCACTGCAGGGCCACCCTGCTGCCAGGGCAGTGGAGATGGACCCTACCAGTATAGCCACGGATACTGGGGTTCAGTGCCCGGGTCTTTGCCCAGCCTCTCAGTGAGTCTGTGCTTGGCATGAAGCATCACGCTGCTCACAACAGACTGGTTAGGAGCCAAGCTGTCAGTGAAAACCAGCTCTACCATATGAACTGCTGCAATGTCCGAGTTGTAGAGTCAGTCTATTCAGTAGGAAACAGCCCGATTGGACAGCTAATCTGCATCCTTAGTTATCACTTCCATCAACGTCTTCTTCCATGTTTACATCTCGGACCCATCTGGGCATCGGGATGAGGCTGGTGCTGGGTGTCAGTGCAGTGATACAAAGATGCATCGGATCCCCAATGCAAAGACCTCTTGCTATGAGAGGCAGCTTTAGCATCACCTCTGTCACAGAACCATAGAGTAGTTTGGGTGGAAGGGACCTTCAAAGCCCATCCAGTCCAACCCCCCTGCAACGAGCAGGGACATCTTCAACCAGATCAAGTCGCCCAGAATCACATCCAGCCTGGCCTTGAATGTCTCCAGGGACGGGGCATCCACCGCCTCCCTGGGCACCCTGTGCCAGTGTTTTACCACCCTCATTGTAAAGAACTTTATCTCACATCCAGCCTGAATCTCCCCTCTTGCACTTTAAAACCATCACCCCTCGTCCTATCACAACCAGCCCTGCTAAAAAGTCCCTCCCCATCTTTCTTACAGGCCCCTTTAGGCACTGGAAGGCCCTAAGGTCTCCCTGGAGCCTTCTCTTCTCCAGGCTGAACAGACCCAACTCTCTCAGCCATTCCTCACAGCAGAGGTGCTCCATCTCTCACTGTATTTGTGGCCTTTCTCTGGACCCTCTTCAACAGACCCATTCCTCTCCTGTAGTGAGGACTCTCTAGCTGTCCTGCAGGCCTCGGTTTCCTTTCCTCCAAGGAAACTTTTCCCCTTGGATGGCTTGGCAAAACCAGCACATTTTGAGCTGGAGGTGAGGAGTTGGTCTCTAAGCCTGAGCAAGCGGGTGAGGACTCAACAGGCTGAGGAAGTTCAGCCTGGAGAAGAGAAGGCTGTGTGGAGACCTCAGAGCAGCTTCCAGTATCTGAAGGGGGTCTATGGGGGTGCTGGGGAGGGACTCTTCATTAGGGACTGTAGTGATAGGACAAGGGGTAATGGGTTAAAACTTAAACAGGGGAAGTTTAGATTGGATATAAGGAAGTTCCTCCCTGTGAGGGTGCTGAGGCGCTGGCAAAGGGTGCCCAGAGAAGCTGTGGCTGCCCCATCCCTGGCAGTGTTCAAGGCCAGGTTGGACACAGGGGCTTGGAGCAAGCTGCTCTAGTGGAAGGTGTCCCTGCCCGTGGCAGGGGTTGGAACTGGATGAGCTTTAAGTTCCCTTCCAACCCAAACCATTCTGGGATTCTGTGGCTCTCCTACACCGCTTTGAGGGGCAGGGCAAGAGCTCCGGGGCGGCCCCTCCCTGTGGCACGTTTCTGCTCCCCAAGCGGAGGTGCTGACCCCGTCCCTGCGGGCACTCAGAGCACACCGCTGCTCCCAGTGGGACGCTCCCTCCCCGCTCGGTAACCGGGGCCCACTCCGCTCCGCGCAGGGCTCATGGCGGCGGCCGCAGCTCCGCCCTCCTCCGCCATGGCCGCGGCGGCGGCGCCCCCTGGCGGCCGTGCGGGGTGGTGCCGCCGGCAGGTTGTCATCACCCCGCGGGTACCGCGGGAACACGCGTGTGTGTGAATGGGGTGACGGTAAAGGGCAGCGGGCACGGGGAATGGAGCCAACTGCCCCACAAAGGCACCGACATCGCCTGGGGACGGGAGGTGATGCGGAGAGGGTACCGTGACCCGGGAAACGGGCCCTCCCACCGAAACCAGGAGCCGAAAGGCTGCAGAAGTGGAAAGCATGAATTGGTCGCTTATTCCATCCTTCTGCATTGCACGGGCACGGACCCCGACGGTGAAAGACACGGGCACGGACATGAACACGGACACGGACACACATGGACAAGACAGACATGGATGGGCACGGACATGGACATGGGCACGGACACGGACATGGACACAGACACACATGGATATGAACATGGACACGGACACACACACAGACTAGACATGGACACAAACACAGACACACACGGACAGGCATGAACATGACACGGACACACATGGACAAGACATGGACGTGGACGGGCAGAGACACGAACACAGACAAACATGGACATGGACATGGACTCAGACACAGACACAGACACACATGGACAAGACACAGACACGGACGGGCACAGACACGAACACAGACACACATGGACATGGACATGGACTCGGACACAGACACAGACACACATGGACAAGACACGGACACGGACGGGCACAAACATGGACACAGACACACACGGACATAGACATGGACATAGACACAGACATACATGAACAAGACACGGACACGAACAGGCATGGACACGGACACAGACACACACGGACATGACATGAACATGACACGGACACACACGGACAAGACACGGACACACACAGACAAGACACAGACACGGACGGGCACAGACACAGACACATATGGACAGGCATAAACATCACACGGACACACACGGACAAGACACAGACATGAACAGGCACAGACACGGACACGGACATGGACACAGACACGGACACAGACACACATGGACAGACATGAATATGACACGGACACGCACGGACAAGACACGGACACGGACTGGCACAGACACGGACACGGACACAGACACGGACACAGACACAGGCGGACAGACATGAACATGACACGGACACGCACGGACAGGACACGGACACGGACTGGCACAGACACAGACACGGACACAGACACACACGGACATGGACACGGACACGGACACAGACACACACGGACATGGACAAGGACACGGACACAGACACACACGGACACGGACACGGACACGGACACGGACTGGCAGACACGGACATTGCAGTGCTGCCCGCCCGCAGCCAGGGGGCAGCAGCGCCGCGGGCTGGGCCAGCCTTGCACGCTCTGCACCTCGCTAGCGTCAGCGCGTGGGCGGCAGGGGAGGGCTGCGCCTCATGGCGGCGCGGGGCAGGGGCAGTGGCAGCGGCCGGAGGGAAGGGGGTAACGGGGCCGGGGCAGCGGGCGGGGGAGCGGCCTCCTGTCGGGGTCAGGCTCAGGCTCCTGCTCTGCGCTGTCCTCGCTCGCCTTCTGTGGCCCTGCAACCCGCCGCAGTGTAAATATTTGGGCGGTGCGGCGGGAGCGGCCGCGGCTAGCCCGTTCCGCGGCTGGCACCATGGCGGGAGGACGGGAGCCTGGGCAGGGGCAGGGGGATCCCTGAGAGCCGGGCCGCGGCCTGCAGCCTCTCCAGGGATTGCCTCTGCCAGCGTGAGGGGAGCAGCACCGTCTGCCCCCCGTCTTCCTTGTACCTCCATGCCTAACCAGTTGGCAGCATTGGCCTGTGAGAGGTGCATGAGCAGCGCGCCATACAGTGTCATTTGCCTTTCTTCCTCTTCTCCGTTGGGGTTTCCTCCACTCTGAAGGGCAGCGAAGAACAAGTGGAGTCGGGATCCAAAAAAGAAGATCAGATCCCATCAAATAGGAGGAGGGAGGGAACAAAAAGACAACTTCAGCTCTCATCCTGGTTTCTTACCTCAATAGCTGTGGGGTATGCAAGGCTCTGGCCTACAGGCTCCAGTAGCAGGGGAGGTGGCAGGCGTCAGCACTACAGCAGCCACCAGTAAGTTGCACCCCAGCAAGTTCAGTGTGCTTTGAGGAAGAGAGCAGTTTGCAAAGGCCAATCAGCCAGTCAGTTTTGGGGGGAAGAAGATCCAGAAAGCAATCCGTTCATCTTACTGATAAAAGGTGACACTAAAGTCACCCAGATTCCGAGCATCTCTGTATTGCCTGTGCTACATTCACGGGTCAAATGCAGTGTGAAGGCAATGTGAATGTCTAACTGCCAAGGCATCTGGGCTGTGTTGGAAAGGCTTGCTGCGCTCTGCTTTCTTGGAGCTAAAGGCGAATTCAAGTCAGTTGTTGAATGCTCCATCCTCCTCCCTCTCAAGCTTCGGGAGGTGACAGATGTTTCCTCAGGGCCTGTTATTTTTGACTCCTCCATGATTTATATATCTGTGCAAGCCTGGTGGGTGGAACTGTGTGTCACCGACAAGCTGAAAATAACTTGTATACTGAGGCTCTGATATCTACTGGCCCATGTGGAGTAGAATAACACCCAGATCAAATTGAATCACATTATATGTGCCTGGCAGCTTCATTGAGAGGTACAGGTGGAGCAGTGGTGGGTTAAAGTGAAACTGCAATGTTTCTGTGGATAGCAGTGGCAAGGGCTGTGCGTTAACACTGTGCACAGCAGAACAACTGTGGCTTAGCCCTCATGATTGTTTTGCTGAGATACACAGTACCACACAGAGGAAAAAATATGTAGAATGATATGTAATTAATTCCCTCTGTCATCACAGGATCACAGAATGATTTGGGTTGGAAAGGACCTTCAGATCATGTAGTTCCAACCCCCTGCCATGGGCAGGGACACCTTCCACTAGAGCAGGTTGCTCCAAGCCCCATCCAGCTTGGCCTTAAACACTGCCAGGGATGGGGCAGCCACAGCTTCTCCGGGCACCCTGTGCCAGTGCCTCAGCACCCTCACAGGGAAGAATTTCTTCCTTGTATCCAACCTTAATCTGTTTAAGATGGAACCCATCACCCCTTGTCCTGTCACTACAGTCCCTGATGAAGAGCCCCTTTCTGGCATCCTTGAAGGCACCTTCAGCTACTGGAAGGCTGCTCTGAGGTCTCCCCTGATCCTTCTCCAGGCTGAACAGCCCCAACTTTCTCAGCCTATCTTCAAAGGGGAGGTGCTCCAGCCCCTGATCATCCTCGTGGCCTCCTCTGGACTTGTTCCAACAGCTCAATGTCCTTTTTATGTTGAGGACACCAGAACTGCACACAGTGCTCCAGGTGAGGTCTCACAAGAGCAGAGTAGAGGGGCAGGATCACCTCCTTCGACCTGCTGGTCACACTCCTTTTGATGCAGCCCAGGATACGGTTGGCTTTCTGGGCAGCGAGCACACACTGAAGCAGCTCATGTTCAGTTTTTCATCAACCAACAACCCCAAGTCCTCTGCAGAGCTGCTCTAAGTCAGTTCTCCACCCAACCTGCAGACGTCAGACATGACGCAGAACTGGACAGAAAGCCCTTGGACTCTGTGTGGGAGGTTCAGGAAGATACCTGAACAGATGGCATTGCAGAGCTGTGCTTGGGTGTGCCGCAAGTGAGGCCAGGGGGCTTCAAACCTGCTTCAGGGTCCTTCTCACTAGAGTCAATACTCGGTGGGGAAATACTCCTGTGGGACCTTGGGAGTCTCCAGCCGTTAATGCCTGATCAGCTGTTTTGGGATAGTTGAGTAAAAGGCAGACAAGTAAATATGCTACATCCACACGTGTCCAGCACTCCGAAAATGTCAGTGAGGGAACACTGTATCTATGGCACAGAGGCAGGTACCAGGCTGAAAGCACAGTGTCAGGGCTAAGATCTAAGGGCATATTCTTAGATGAGCTTCTCAAAAGCTGATATCTCTGCTCCTCTCCACGTGCATGTAGTGTGCAGGGCGTTTCACCCAGCCTCTCACCGAGTTTTCCCCAAGTGCAGCCTGGCTTCCTTTGGGTACAGCTCAGAACCAGCATTCTCTGGGAGGTGATAATATTTTCCAAGGCTGGGCCATTCATCTGTGCCAGCCTCTTGGGAATAGGGAGAAGCTGTGCAGAAAGGGCCTGGACACACCCTGGAGCCAGCAGTAGGATGTTCACAGCCTGCCAAGGTAAACTGTGTGAGTGGTACACCTCCGTTTACAGCCACATCTCCAGAGCAGAAGCAGGGAGTGAGGAGAGCCACAACTTTCACTGCTCATGAGGAGCTGAAGATGGAACTCACAGTGGAGGACCCAAACTCCTGGAGGATATCCACACCTCCTGAGATCATGTATCTCGCAGGGTTTCCTGGCAAGGTTTCTGCCATAGCACAGCTTTGGCACATGTCATCTCTGGTTGTTTTTGTTTGTTTGGGGTTTTGTTTTGGGGTTTTAGGTACTGGTTTCCACTTCCCTGAGTGCTTCCCCAACACTGGGCTTAACCTTACTTCTGTCTCTAGTCCTCTTTGAGCACCAGCTTGTGATGACTCGGCTCTCCTGAGGCCTCTCCAGTGCTTTCATCCCGGAATCATTCAACCTACCCCTTAAATCCATCAGAGATTATTTGGATTCTGTGTGTGCTCCTTTCTCTTCCTTCAAGGCCACATGACTTCCACTCTTTCCTTGCGTCTTCCAACTTCCCTGTTCCCATGCTTGTTTCCTGTTCCTTTTGAGTCTCTGCCAGGAAGCGTTGCACAAAGTGATACTTTGGGATGTGCAGTGGAGGGGCCACAGGACATTAACCCTGCTCTCAGAGGTCCCTTTAGAAAAAACATCCTTTAAATGCCAACAAAGAGGTTTTAATTTTTAAGCTGATGAACAAATAATTTGTCCAGAGTCAAAACATTTGTGCTGATAATGGTGCTGTGCCCTGAGGGAACTAATTTGCCTCTCTTACACTGCTTGACTTCCCTGCTCACAGATAACTCAGCCCAGTGATATCCCATGTTGTAACCCAGTTCAAGACTCAGCCCTCTTGCAAGAAGGACATGCTGCATCTTTGGAAGACCTGAGTGCAATGTTAAGTGTCACAGCAGGAGTAGAACCCAGTACCTTGTGCTAACTCACTGTTAATTAGCACACTTTGGACTTGTCTGTCTAAAACATTGGGTGACATCAGTGGGATAGGTTGTATAAAACTGCCATTCTATCTGGGAGGATGTTAGATCCGTTTGCTCTCGTGTTGTCCTTACGTGTGTTGCCATACAGGAGTGCATCAGCAACTCCTCTAATCTTCAGCCTATTACTGTACTGGAAAACATAGCATAGAAATACCATGTAAATGTGAGCTGGGTGTTTTAAATGTTGAGGGTTGGGGTTTTTTTGGAGGCCTCCCAGTTCTCCTATCACTAGTTGCAGTCCAGGAAACTTTGTGTTTATTAAGCACTGTGTAAATTTGCAGCTCTCTATAAATGTAAAATCAATAGCAATGATAACAGCAGCAAAGTGCTTAGTCCAGCTCTGGTAATAACCCAAGACTGCTGACTTCTTGATAAGGTCGCTTGCTTTACGCAGGCACCTCCTCTCCATGCGAAAGCACGGGGTGCAGAACAGGAGATACTTGTGTGCCCTGACAAGAACAGAAACACTGAAAACATGATGCCAACAGCAGGCAACAACCTGAAGGACTCTTGAAATGTGCTGTGGGGGCCTTTGCCCCTCCACTGAGCACTGCAAACACACTTCCTCTTCTAGGAAATTAAACTCTTAACAGACATCTCCTCGCTGATGGTATCATCTTTTATCTCTTCTCACAAGCACACGAGAAAGGGGAATCTCCAGTAACCTGACGGAGTGAGCAACGCTGCATTGCTGGGGGATGAACAGAGTGATGAGATGACAATGTGTGGCTGATCCGGAGCTGTGGCCTCCAGCAGTGATGCCACCACCCCGCTGCTTCTAGTAGGGGTCAGCCTGGCCAGTTTTTGAGGTTCACAGCAGAGGTCATGGGGGTGTGTATAGGGACCATGCTTCCACCCCTCCCCAGGCATCCTGCAGCTCTAAAGGCAGCTCTGCCTGCTCAGCCTCCCCCACTCTCGCCCAAACAGACAGGTAGAAGGGCTCTGTGCTTTTATAGCTGGGGGTTTATCACCACTGGCTAAGTGGTGATAAACTTAGTCTCTAAATACTTGTGTAGAGCTAATGGCTGATAGCTAATGGCTGATAGCCTCTGCTACCCTTCCACTGTGGTGTTCACATTAAGGGTGGAACCACTGCAGGCAGCTGTGGTTGGCTCCATGCAGTCTATTCCTCTTCCACCAGGTCCTCTCTAACGCTGGTTTAGGGTTCCCATACGGTTTACTGCCATCCCACCAGCCTCTGTCATGACCTCCCCATGGAGTTCACTGGTAGACCCCAGGAGTAATCCCTTCCCTCCTCCCTGCACACCTCTGCCAGCTAGCTCGGCCTTATCTTGCTCTGTGGTAGATCCACAGTCACCTTTGGGCTTTTTCTTTGCCAGGCTGCTTTGTTAAAGTCCATCTGCACATCAGTTCCCTGCTGTTTTCTTCTTCCCTGCCCTCTGCCTGTTAACCTATCCTTAGGTCCAGTGATCTCCCCTGCAGGAAGGATCCTCCTTAAGCCCCTATCCCAAAGGCGACGCTCCCACTGTTAAATAATGACACAGTAATGATCACCAGAGGGCTGGCAGGGACTTCAGGAAGTCTCTGAAGCCATTCCCCCCATCTCCAAGGTGGAGTCACCCAGGAGCAGTGCCTGACACGTGTGTGAAGTGCTTCCAGCCATGGGGGTGCTGCAGCTCCCCAGCAGCCCCCTGCGGCCCAGGAGACCTTCCTGGGGAAAAAAAAGCACTTTCTGGAGCACAACCCGAAACCTTCCTCCTGCAGATCAGGCTGATCATTACTTGTCCTTCTTCTGGAGCAGAACTGATCACAGTCTGCCTCAGAGCAACCTTTTATATAATAGCGAGACAGCTTTTAGAGTAACTGAAAAAGAGGCGTTTGCTCACTTGCAAAGTCAGGAAATTCCCTGCCAATGGACATTCTTTGTCAGGGATCCTTTGCCAGCATAGGCTGAGCGCTAAGCCCCACAATCTGCATTTTCCTTTTGAATGACTCCCACAAAATAAACCAAATACACATCCAAGGAGATTTATGACATCCCTTCCAAGGGCGAAGCATTCCTCAGCTACATTCCACTTCTGTCTTTTGTGCTTAGGAAAGAGGAAAAAGAAATTCTCTGTGATGCCTCTAGATCCCACCCCTCGAGGGCTTCTGTCCTTAATAAAGCCGAGCAGCTGGAGCCAGATTTGTCAGACTAGTCCTGAATGGCTGGCTCGCTCCTCCTGCACCATCAGAGCAGCGCTGGGATTCCTGCCTCTGCTGGAAGATTAATAACTCGTGGCACCACGTTTCCTCAGTCAAAACACCTTTTGCTGTTCCCAGTGTCACCCTATCCCTGTGGCAGCAGCTGCCAGAGTGGATCTTCTCACTTCCGAGCTGCTCTGGCTTCTCCTGCCTCTGCATGATGCAAGAGTTTGCAATGCTTTTTGGGAGCTCAGATGTGCTCTCCGGGACTCTCTGCTCCAAGCAATTGCTCTCTCCAGGCTTAGCAGCGAAGCTTTTATCCAGATGTGTAAAGGAGGGTGTGTACAGAGGGAGGCTGAGGGGGTGAAAGCTCTGTTGTGTTATCTGAGCTTCATTAAGCTTCTACCCAGGCAGTCTCTAATTGATTGACCCCAGGACTGCAAAGAGGAGGAAATTTACTGGAGGTTGTTAAAAGAGCAGAGTTTGGAATTGGGATTTTGTTTATTTCGGAGATGAAGACCTTTGACTGCTGTCCTGCTGACTGATACCAGTGAAACAAACTATTCAGCACATGTTGGCAGGTGGATGTGGCATTTTAAATCCAAATGAGAGAAAAGGTGAGTCCTCAGACGCCTGCTCATAATCATTGTGTCCCTTAGCAGCATTTATAGGTAGCACTTAACTGGAGCTCAGTACTGCTTTCTGCCCCAGCCTGGGCTGTGCTAACCAGCCTATAGCCTGTGCCAGTGGATATCAGATCCATTTCAGTGCCATTGGCTTCAAAGGCATTTCACAAAATCAACCAAGCCAAAAAGCTCTCACCAAACCACACATCAGTTCACCCACTGGGATGTGCAGCCGCTGCAAGCGAGGGTGAAGCTCTGCCACAGCACAGGGCAGAACCCCAAAACCACTGTGTAGAAAGTGGAGAAGGGGAAAAGATCTTGTGTTCAAGGGGAGCTGCAGGAAGAATACCATTTTCCAGAAGAGGACTATCCCTCCCAAGCCTCTGGAACACTGATTTTGCCAGAAATGCTGCTGAGATCATTTCCACTCTGATGATGTTCAGATCTGTCTTTGCAACTGAACCCCTAGGGAGAACAGGGGCTCAGGCTCGCTCACCTGAATAACAGGTCCCTTCTTCTCAGATACACAGCTCAGGGCTCTGTGTGCACGTCTCCTCTGCAAGTACCACTCTTGGCTTTGTGTTGGTGAGGTTTGATACGATGGAAGCTCACCCTGGCAGGACCCTGACATAGCCAGTGTGCAGCAAAGGCAACAGGAGGACAAGGTATGCGGATCAGTGTGGAAGCGATATGCATGCCTGAAGATGAAGGAGACCATTATGAGCGGAAGAGCAGCCACTGGCCAGGTGACAGAAGGCTGTTAAAAGGCCAGCTTTCATAACCAGTCCAGCCAAAGCTTCTTATATCATTTGGAGCCAACTCACTGTGGCTCAAATCAGCCTTAAAACTATTTCAGCTGGGTTTTAAAGCTATTTAGAGCCTGGAGGGAAAGCCTGAGTGTGTAGCAAACTGATAAAACTGTGTGTGCACCGTGGGTGTGACATGCTGCTGCTGATTTGAAGTTTCTCCTGTCAGCCTGTGAGTTGTTTCCCTTTTCTTCCTTGCTAGGACAGACCCATGTCCTGTTTCCTCCTACTCTCCATCCTTGAAGAAGATGCTTATCTTTCCTGAGGAGGTTTCTGTGCATTCTGTGAAGTTTTGCAGGGATTTGGTGGACTGCGAGCAGCAATACAGACAGCTGACACCTACCCTATGTGGTTTTCAATGAGAAGACATCTCTACAGTCATGTCTGCCTTATCCCTGTTTGTCTTTAGGCCCTTCAGAACACTTCCAATTTGCTTTTCTGTCTCTTCTGTTTAGAAAACGTTTCACATGGGCATTTACAGGAAAGTCCCAGTTTTTACACCATGTTTGAAGGACACTGGTTTGTTGGGTCTCTCAGTTTAGGTAGTGGCTGCAAGAATAAGTCCCTAGGTGCAGCTATGAGGAAGAGGGGCTGCCGCTGTCCCTGTGTTGAAATGACATTTGTCAGCAAGGAGAGCTGACCCTCCAGAAGAAGATGATGCTGCGGAAAGGGAGGAATTCAGGTGTCTCCTCTGGAGCACATGGACTTCTCTGTCCTGAGGAAGACAGTTAAGACCTCCACAACCCTCCCGCTCACTGCTTGCTCTGCTGCTTTCTCTTTCTTCTTTTCCTCCCTCCTCAACCACACCCATATTTAACCATTTAGATATAAAAAGAAAAAAGAAGAAAACCACCCAAGCCACTAGACAGAGGGTTTGCTGAAGAAGGGTAATTTGAAAAGCAAGTCTTTGAGGTCAGCGTGTAATTGTAACATTGGGACTGTGTGATCCAAGACAAAAATAATCCACTGGGTAGCTGGTCAAGGAGGAGAGGATGCAGCTTGCACTGAGGGGAGAGTGACTTACACAGGACTCATCAGGCAGCAAAAGGCTTGCTGGCACCAGGACTAATACTTCTGCAAGATTCTCTGTCTGTGATGGTGGTGTAAGAGTTGGGTTCAGGGTCACAGCCTCCCTTGGTTAGCAGCTCTGCCTCTGCCAGAGGTTGGCTTCCCAGGGACTTAATGGTCTTCCACAGAAATACGGAGCTGGTGTGAAGTATATTTATACATCAACCTGCTCACGAGGAACGCTGCTGGTTTGGTCTGGAGGTTTTCCAATTGCTCTCCATTTTCAGTCCCCTGCTCCAGGTACTTTATGAAAACCTGTCTTCTCGTGGGGCTGCAAGCCATGGCCTTTGCTTATGTGGTGTAATAGAGGATGATCTCGACTCCTGTAAATGCCATCTCCTTTCCTCACAGTTCCTTCTCAGTCATAGCTAACAGCAGTAAGTTATGTGGGCCAATCATGAAATGTATTATATCAGGGTTTCCTCTAGTGCATTTTAAATGAAGAAGCAAACCTTGTGAATGCCCGAATATCTCTGGTGTCTGCTGGCACTGAGAGTACAACACAGGGGCTAGGAGGACCACACTACGGTGCTGGTTTTGTTATCATTCTAGTGAGAGACAGTGGCAGTCGCCATCACTTGGAAATAGTGATGTTAATTCTTGTACTGGGGCAAAGCACCAACTGTCCTTGGTTTTCCTGGCTCCAGAAGTGGCCTGTGTATGACACCAAGCAACCTTTCATCTCTCATTCCTAAGAATGAGTTGCTTTCACATTTGCTCCCAGGTGAAAGAACCATAAAAATCAGCTTGCTGTGAGAGAAGTGTAAGAGGAGGGAACATGCCTATATGTTGATGCCAGTGGCTGGGGTATAGAACTGTACCTGAATCGATGCCACTTGCGTTTCCATTCCAGGATGCCCAGCCATTAACTCTCCAGGCTTTCACCACAGTTCAGTGTTTCCCCTTCTCAAACCACTGTCTGTGCATGAAAGGGATTTATTTTAATCAGAG